AAAATGGTCCCAAAGAGAAATTTGGGCTGCGCATATCTGGAATCAGTTCGATCCTAAATAATCAGTTGATCCCTACTTCTCTCTCACAAAGACATGATTCAGAAGAAGGTCCAACAGACAATCTACTTCCTGTGGCAACTGGAGAACATCTTCTAGTCTGCCTTGGTGAACTTGGTCCTACATTTATCCGTCACTGTGTGGTTTGGCTCATTAACAAAATGAAAACTATGACTATCAATCAGGGCCAACCTTCCTTCCCTCCATCAAAGACTTGTCCAGGTCTAGAATCAAAACCAAGGCAGCTACCGTCTCTGTAGATGCCACACATCTTGGACACAGACCGTTCACATATTTTACCTTTACGCAGATTTAAAAAAATAAAACCTTGTTCTTTCAGGGTTCTAGTTTTTATTTAAGCAAATTCACATCCATAGAGAAGGTTCAACAAAACAAAATGGGTTTTTTGAACTGTTTTAGCTCATGATGCTGAAATTAATCAAATAAATAACTATAATCCGACCTAAAACAGTCTGTTTAAGGTGGGTAGGAGGTAACGTGGCTGTTCGATGTTATAACTAGTGATATATTTAGTTTAGCTTTGATAAATCTGTACTAAAGTGATGGATGGAAACACACATGCCCCATTTTAGGGCGTTTTTTTTTTTTTTTTTAGGCTAACTGTGTGCCAGCAGGGCAACATGAACTTCCTGGACTTTCTTATGGTTACATGGCAACAGAGCTCATGAAAGAAACTCAAAGGAGACAAAACAATAAAGTGAACAAAGTGTCTAAAAAGAAGGAGAATTGGATCAGCGTACAACAAAAAAACCTACACTGTTGTGTCACAAAGGACTAGTTCAGCTGTTATGCATGTTAACAAATTATAGCAGCGGTTGTTTAAACTCAGTGCCTCTCGCTCTCTAAATGTTGTCTTTATTTACACGAATGCCTGTTGGTGAGTCAACACTTGCTGCCTCTTTAGGTTGAGCCGCTGATGCAGAGTCAGCTGCTTTTATGCAAGTACATGGGTCACTCTAAAGCGACTCATTTCAGAAAAAAAAATTGCATATTCTTTTAATTAAAGGTAAAAACAAATAAAAAGCAGGTTCTCTTTGAAAAAAAATTATATTTTGACGCGTAAAGGACTGCGTGCATAAAAAAAACAAAAAAAAAAACGTATATCACTTTATTGTGCCATGAAGGGGAAATGCATTCTTTGCATTTTGACCCATCCCAATGGGTAGCAGTGGGCTGCCATGGTGCGGCGTCCAGGGGGCAATCAGGAACCCTGAGTGGAGGTTGTGGGGATCCAATCGGGTACTTTCAACCTTCTCATAGCACAAGCGCACTGCTGTAACCCACTAGGCGAACACCCCCCTCAACTGTGACGTAGGATCAAATGCTAGAATCCGAAAACCAACTTCTTTGAAAGTAAACATCCGATGAAAATGTCCTAATACAACCGAAGATATTTTATTGTACAAGTAGAGTTGGGAATTGATAATATTTTTACAAATCTGATTCCCTTTTCGATTCTGTGAAACGATTCGAATCCCTTTTCGATTCTGTGAAACGATTCAATTCCCTTTTCGATTCTGTGAAACGATTCGAATCCCTTTTCAATACTGTGAAACGATTCCCTTTTCAATACTGTGAAACGATTCCCTTTTCGATTCTGTGAAACGATTCGATTCCCTTTTCGATTCTGTGAAACGATTCGATTCCCTTTTCGATTCTGTGAAACGATTCGTTGCTTACTAAATGCTGTGTGCATAACTAGCGTTAAAAAACGTGACGTAAGTCGCGCTGCCCAGCGCTAACCTCTGGTGCTGCGTGGAATCGTTAAGAGAATCGTTAAGCGAGCTGGCAAAAGGTGCCATGGAATTAGAACACACGGAACTGGTTCTAACAGGAACCGGTTTTCGATTCCCATACCTATGTGTAAGAGTAATAAGTGGAATAAAGTGATTGGGATTTTCTAGCCAACAGGTTATGTGGAAGTGACAGAAGATAAACTTCTCCATCAAACCTATTCCCGCCCCTATGGCGCGTTAAACACAGCGGCTCTTAATGATTTCTGTTTGTTTTCTTTTTCTTAATGAAGAAATTATTTACAACAGGAAAGGTCTAACGACTGTTGATCCCATACCAGAAGTAAATCAGAAAACTCTAAATACATTTAAACATACTTGAGCTCTCAGTTACGGCTTATCAAAAATAAATCACCATAAGCCTTGTTTTATGGAATCAATCACCCAGGGAAATAAAATATATTCTATGTGACAGAAAGAAACACATAAAAGCTAAATGGGTGTCTTTATTTAACAGCCAGTTAAGGCCCAGCATGAAGGGCTGTTCAATGGTTTCCATCGATAAAGTCTAGTTAAAGACAGATGCTAATAGATAGAAATCCTGCTCTCATTAAGTTGGTTCAATACTACAGTTAAAAACAAGTAAAGGGGACTGAGGGGGTCCATCCCAGCTTTTAGTTTAACGATCAAATACACACAATGACTTGCAAACCTATCAAGAACTGGGAAAGGACAAACAAAAAATATGGGCTCTGATGTTTTTTACTACAGAAATCAGATGGTTTTGCAATGGAATTGTATTTTGCATGCTAATGTAATAAATTGAAGTTTCATTGTTTAATGCACAGCAGACTGTCTTGTCTAGAGCAGTGGTCTGCAACCTGCAACTCCGGAGCCACACATGGCTGTTTGAACCCTCTACAATGGGTCTTAATAAAGATATAAGAGCTAACTAATGCACTATAATAGCAAATACCAGTCTTAGAAGCTTAAGTGTTTTTTATGAAGAATATTTGAATAGAATTTTCACAACACAATGACTTTTTATTCATATTAGCTTCAAATGTATTTATTTTCCTTTTTGTTTACTGTAGAAGAAAATCCAATATTTATCTTTATGAACTAATTTAAAAACTAAGAATACGAATAAACTGTTAGTTGTCTAACATGGAAACAGATTTTCTATGGCAGATAAAAGTCATGTCAATTTTTGCTGCTCTACTCTTACGGAGCCGGATTAATGGCAAAATGTCTATTTTGACAGGAAAGGTGGCAGAACCCTGAGCTCGAGACTCAAATCTTGGTCCATTACTCTGAAAAAGTGAATTCAGAAAAAGTGGAATTTGACAGAGTGCATCAGAGGAGATTGACTTAAATCCCTATCACCGATAATCTAGTTCTTGAATAGATTATTCTAAAAACCTACCTTAGTTCCTATAACCATCCTTTCTTCAACCCAATTTACCTTCCTAATTTAAAAATGTAATAAACAAATAAACAAATAACCTGTTTCTTTGTATTTGACACCCACTGCAATAACTATATAAATATCCATATATATATATATATCCATATATATATATATATATATATATATATATATATATATATAAAAAACTGAATGTTGGAACTACTTTACTTTTTTTCATCACAATGTTTTTATCACTGCTACTTACCTTTATCTGTATAAGTCTATAGATACCCATGTAAACACTCTGTGCAATAACCCTATATAACAATCCTGCTATAAAAAAAAAACAACAACAAAAATCTGTCATATGTGGATGCACTGTATATACTGTATATATCTCATGCACCCTTTTCTTCCTTTTCCACCTTCTTTGACTATTAAAGCTGATGTAACGAGTGAATTTCTCCACTTTGAGATCAATAAATTAAATCAATAAATCAAAAACCTATTAATATCCCCCCCATTATAATGCTGCCACCACTGATGCTACATTGATGTTACTTCTTCAATAACTCAGTGCAATATATATGTATATATATACTTCTTTACCCTGTATATATCTAGCTCTTAGTTATAGAAAACATATTTATTGTGCAGGAATAAGGTCCTAGCTCTGTTACACTGGTAGCCAAGTTCTTGACATTTCGTTGTCAAGATTCACCTTGTGTTTTTTTGTGCAATGACAATAAAGGAAGTCTAAGTCTAACTGTGTTTGAAGCTAGTGTTTTTAAGCTAATGAGGAGTGTTTTGCACACTGGAAAAGAATCAAAATCTAGATAAGTAATTTTTTCTTAAAATAGGTGCATTTGTTCTTGGATTGAGGGGGTAAAAGAGACATTTTGCCAATGGAACAAGACAGCCATCCATCCATTTTCTGAAGGAAGCAAGGGGTGTTGGTGCCCATCTCCAGCTGTCTACGGGCGAGAGGCGGGGTACACCCTGGACAGGTCACCAGTCCATCACAGGGCAACACAGGACAAACAGGACAGACAACCATTCACGCACACACTCACACCTAAGGAGAATTTAGAGAGGTCAATTAACCTAACAGACATGTTTTTGGACTGTGGGAAGAAGCCGAAGTACCCAGAAAGAACCCACGCATGCTCAGGGAGAACATCGAACCCGTGACCTTCTTGCTGTGCCACTGAGCAGCCTTGGAACTGACAATTTACACTTAAAATAAGAAAACACAATTGCATAGTCTTATTTCAAGTGCATATTATATAATTATCTTATTTTAACAGTAAAAAAACTCAATCCATTTGAAAAGGACCTCATGTACCTACTCAAATGAAGGGTAAATTCACTTAATTTAAGAAAATGTTACTTATTTCCAGATAATTTTTCCAGTGCATCTATGCAGTCAATCTAAGACACATTTATTTCCCCCCAATCTGTCCCTGTATCCTCTTTCCAGAAATCCCTAAATGTGTGTTTTTACACATCTAATGAGTAAAAACAAGAGAACATGTTAAAGGGTTGGAAATAGTATGTAAACAGAGGATGTTTGCATTTTAGAAATGATGCATTCCCCAGCAATGTGCAGGAGGGAGAGAAAAAAAAAGAAAAAAAGATGCATCCCTCTCCATCACTGCGCAGGGCTTTCCCAGAGAAAACCACTGGGGACCCGAGGAAAGCGAGGAGGGGAGGAGGGAATCCTGCACATTTATTCCTAAATATACCAATAAAACCAGCATATAACCGGTGGATCTTACCTGTGACGGCTACATTGGTAGCATCAGATGAGTGGCTGGGTAGATCATTCGAGTAGGACCATTCTGAGCCCAGTACCGCATAGATGACGAGTCCACGTAGCAATACATTCACTACCATGAAACTATGCATGGTGAAAAGCAGCAGGGAAGGTACCTTACTCTGAAATAGGTCTGAATCAATCAGACAGAAGGAAATATATACAAAAAACAACGCAGTTTGCAGCCTTTATACAGACAAGATAATAAATGAGACACCTGTTATTAAGGGGGTAAAACAAGCTGCATGAAATGGGTCAAAAAGGGGAGCTAAAATGGGCTTCTAATGGTTTCACAGGCTGTTTCAGAGGGGGCCACCCCATTTCTAATTTTATACATTAAATATATGTATTGGCTTACAAAAAAAAGAAAAAAAATAGAAGCCCTAAATATCTATGGTGTAAAAATTTTAATATTTTTTTTAAACGCGGAAATAAAACCAGCTAAAAAAAGAGAGAAAGTGCTGATTTAAATCCTTAGGTTAGAGCCGAGAGTTGGTGGGAAAGCAGTCCGTGTACTTCCACGTACAAACATATTCCGCCTCGAACAGAAAAACAAAATAAAGAATATCCCCGTAGCATCAGATATTATCCATTCCTCTGCTTGTAGTCCTTCTTCCCGGCTGGATGTCGCGCGCGCTACATCCGTTTACTTCCAGAGGGAAGTTTGTTAAAAGTCGCAGCTTTCCGTGGCTGTCCGTGATACCGTATCCCTGCCCGTCATGGTTTCAGCTGCTGCTGCTGCTCGCCTCGCTTCCAACTCGCCGGGCTGGTGGACCAGCGAGGGGAGAAGGAAGTCGGTATGCAAAGCGGGCTTGACGTGACGAAAGGGACGGGGAGGGGTGAGGGACTGTAATTTGCCTCCAAATGCACGCGCGTGCGGGACGCCGCCTGATCGGAGGGAGACACTCTGGGTTTACCTGAATGGAGGTAGACCTCAGAAGCTGTCACCACCTTGGGCTTCAGCTTTTATCTGCGTGTGTTTGCTACAACAAAAACACGTAAGAATCTCTAGAAGCTTCCAGAAACTTTGCTTCTAAAGAGCTCTTCTCTCACAGAGAAACGTCGGGTGATGAGCACGTTTCTCAACTTAAGTGGCTTCATTGTTCTCCGCCACTGGTTCGTCCAAGTTTTGGGTCCCTTTTTCTCCCCCCCGCTGAGCCTTCCTATTGGCTGGATTGCCCCGACATGGCAGCGTCTGATTGGCTGCCTCAAACAGCACGGATATCTGTGTGTTTTAAAGATGCTCCGCGCGGCGTAATAACAAAGGACGTTGTAATATAATAGAATAGAATACAGTACAATACAATAGAATAGAATAAAATAAAATCGAATACAATGCAATACAATACAACAGAGTAGAATAAAATAGAATAGAATAGAATAAAATACAATACAATAGAATAGAACAGAATAGAATAGAAAAGAGTAGAAAATACTGTCACACAATGGGGAAAACTGTGGTTTTTACAGCAGCAGCAAAAGGTTAGGGGTCCCACAGTGTACACCTAGAAAAGTGCTGGTGAAAATTCTCAGTCATCCAGGTTATAGTCATTCAAAAGAAAAATGGCAAAAAAAAAAATCAAATAGAATAAAATAGAATGCAATACAACACAATAGAATAAAATAGAATAGTATACAATAGAATAGAATAGAATAGAATAGAATAGAATAGAATAGAATAGAAAATACCTTTACTGTCACACAATGGGGAAATTGTGGTTTTTACAGCAGCAGCAAAAGGTTAGGGTTGCCACAGTGTGCACCTAGAAAAGTGCTGGTGAAAATTCTCAGTCGTCCAGGTTATAGTAATTAAAAAAAAAAAATCTGATATTTTAAGATGTTTCACTTCCCGTCCGGGAAGCTTTTTCAATTCAAAATGTCAGAAATAGCGTTGAGCTCAAGGCAAAACAAGGCTTTGTTTTTGGTTCACTCTATAAAGCCTTGAACTCAACACTATTTCTGACATTTTGAATTGAAAAAGCTTCCTGGATGAGAAGCGAAACGTCTTCAAACTTGGTATCAAAGTCCAGTGGATTGATTTTTAACTTTTTGGGAATCACCTACAAAAGGATATAAAATAACATATAGGAAAATAAAACTAATAGAGTGTTGTACTGTACAGTGTTTTTACAATATAAATACTCCGTATCTGGAGGAAAAAAAAGCAATAACAGCTGTGGACATTTTTACAGTAATGGATATCTGAAAAGTAGCAGCCACACCAGAGATGTGCAAAATGACAGCAGCATTTTATTTAACTGACTAAGATAGAAACTGTGCAAACATTAGCATCAATTTAGCAACTTATCGAGGTTGTTGGGAACGGTGATGGTTAAAGTCTTCCAGCTGCTGGGAGGGAGGATCTGTGATAACGCTCCATGGTGCATTTAGGGTACAGCAGTCTGTCACTGAAGGAGCTTTCCAGTTCAGTATCATTTTCATGCATGGGGTGGGAGACATTATCCAACAGAGATGTTAACCTTTGTTTTCAGTGGCGACTCAAGACAAAATTTACAAGGAAGGGGTTCAGTGATTTTTTTTCCATTGGTGCACAGACGTAAATAAAACAAACACACACACACACAGACTGCAGAGAAAGGGAGCATCTTTTGGTATGTTAAGTCAGCCACAGAGACAAGGTTGCAGCCATGGGTGGTTCTAGATTGGGGGCCAGCTGGGGCTCATGCCCCTGCAGAACTAGCTCTGGCCCCTGTACCAAAAATATAATAAAAAATAAACTATGCTAAATATGTGCTGGAACACAAACCACAACTGACAGGTCCCTTGAACCAATTTAATTTTAGAAATGCAGTTTTTTTTTTCTTAAACAAGTAGTTAAAAATGATGTTGTTGCACTTTTAGCTTCAGTCATAGGATCAGTGTGCTAGACCTGGGGTTACCAGAGCTGCAGAAGTCTCTTTAGTTCACTTTATAAATCAAACAATGAACTTTAGACCTATTTAGTTTGTTTTTTCTTTTTTGTGCCCCAATGAAAAACACAATCCCTCTGTAAATCTGCTTGACTCCTGATCTAACAGCTATCTGCAACCTAAGCCTAAATACTGAACTGGTCCAAGGGACAAATTAGCTGCAGTGTTTTTAGTTAGCACATGCCATCATGAGAAATTAATTTAGCATTGCAAAGAATGATAACAAAAAGGGAAAGATTTCTTAAAATAAGTGTATTTGAACAGGTAATTGTGATGATCTGCCAAATGAATTTGTATTTTCGCTCTGAAAAAATATAATTAGATATTATGCACTTGAAAGCTAATGGAGTTTTTTTCTCATTCTCAACATAAATCATCTTATTCTGTTGGCAGATTACGCAACCTACTTACTCAAATCAAGGGAAAATACCGTATACTTATTTCTAGAAAAAATGACTTATGTATATTTAGATTTTTGCAGTGTGTGATTTCAGTACAGAGGCCAGGACCAAGTCTACAGGGGCATTGGACCCCATTGGCCCTTTTATAGAATCTCCCATGGTTATTGATGTTACTTAAAGGTGAAGATGGGGGTCCCTACATGTAGTGTTTTTATTATCGAATGATAATGCAATTTATGTCTCAATTATTAATAAATCCAAAAAAAATAAATGATTTAGATTATAAACCGAAGCCCCCCAAGAAAA